ACGGCGCAGATACGATCGATGATGTAGTAAAATTACAATTAAATTTAATTTCGATTCTTAAAAAATCGGGTCTTGAGTTAAAAAAGTGGGCTTCTAACACTGATGTCATTTTGGACGCCGTTCCGGTCTCCGACCGTGTAAGCAAACCGACATCGTTTGACGACGTCGACGGTTATGGAACAAAAGTTTTGGGGTTGGAGTGGCACCCGGGCGGTGACTACTTTTGTTGCGCGCTTAATGTTGATAAACCACCAGTACTTACAAAACGAGGTATCCTATCCCTCGTGGCGCGTATTTTTGACCCGCTAGGTTTTTTTGGACCGGCGGTTTTTATGGCAAAAACTGTTATGCAGCGGACGTGGCGGCAAGATCTATCATGGGATGATCCCCTACCGCTGGACATTCGCGATGAATGGGTCGCGTTCGTGTTCGACCTGCCGTCGCTAAGAGATATAAAAGTACCACGCTACATCAGCGCGAGCAGTGGGGCACCGTGTTACCTGTTAGGTTTCTGCGACGCGTCGTTGCTCGGGTATGCYGCAGTAGTGTACGTGCGGATGCACGACGCGCCGGCGCACCAGTCAGTTTTTTTACTCGGGACCAAAACTAAATTAGCGCCACTGAAATCGATATCCGTACCGCGCTTAGAGTTAAACGCTGCGTTATTGTTGGCCCGTTGGCTAGGGCGCCTCCGTAACGTTCTGGAGCCGCAGCTTAACGTGGTTGGAGTCCGCACGTGGTCAGACTCCATGATTGTGTTGTCTTGGTTGAATGTGCCCCATGAAGCTATAAAACCTTACGTGTCAAATCGCGCATTTCAAATCCAATCGTTGTTGCCTGGTTGTAATTGGCAATACGTAGAGTCTCAGTCAAATCCCGCCGATTGCGCGTCGCGCGGTCTAATGCCGTCGGCATTAGCACGTTGTAATTTGTATTGGCAGGGGCCGCCTATCGCGTATGCAGATCCGTCGGAGTGGGTCACCTCTCCGCCACTGATACCTTTGAGTGAACTTCCCGAGATCAAGCCAATTTCTTGCGCTGCCCATATCGTCACGACACCCACTGAGYGGTTTGAACGTTTTTCATCATACGACCGATTGCTACGTGTAGTAGCTCGGATGTTGCGTTTTGTTGCCCGTGTGCGTAATAAGGCTCCACGCACATCACCTTTCCTACACAAATCTGAACTTGATCGCGCTGTGCAGGTGTTGGCTATCGAGTYGCAGCGAGTACATTTTGCCGTGTTACATCACGAGTTGTCTAATGGCCGTCGGATATCATCTAAGTCGATGGCGCGCCTGTCCCCGTTTATTGATACAGACGGCGTAATTCGCGTGGGAGGTCGCTTGAGACATTCTTTGTTGTCCTACGATTGCCGGCATCCGATATTATTGTCGAAACGGTCTGTTTTTGCGTTTTTGTTGTGCCGCCGGTGGCATTTGATCACATGTCACGCCGGCCCCCGTGTTTTAGCGGCGCTTATTTCACGGCAGTTTTGGATAGTTTCGTTGAGGTCTGTGTTACACCATGTATTAACTTCATGCGTTGTTTGTGCGAGGTTTGATGCTAAACCGCCATCTCCGTTCATGGCTGATCTACCGGCAACGCGAGTTCAACCTCAACGCCCGTTTTCCTACGTAGGGGTGGACTATGCCGGCCCATTACAAATGCGCGAACTTCGATTGCGTAAATCGCGTGTGTACAAGGTATACATCGCCGTATTTATATGTTTTACAGTGAAGGCCGTTCACCTCGAGGTGGTGTCTGAGTTGTCGACCGATGCGTTTCTGGCCGCATTTGACCGTTTTGTGGCACGCCGCGGTCTGCCGAGCGATATATATTCTGATTKCGGTACCAATTTTGTGGGGGCCGATAAGCAATTAAAAAAGTTAATCAACAGCCCTGAAAGTCAGGTCGCTATTGCCAACTCACGTTCTGCGTGTGAATGGCAYTTCAACCCACCCAGCGCTCCTCATTTCGGGGGTCTGTGGGAGGCTGCGGTGAGGTCGACAAAGCGTCTACTTATACGGTGCATGGGTACACATATTTTCACATACGAAGAGTTAAATACAATTTTGTGTCGGGTAGAAGCTGTCCTCAATTCCCGCCCACTCACACCGGCCTCTACTGATCCGCACGACCTAGACTGTTTGTCTCCGGGACATTTTTTGGTA